GCGCTTCGACAAACTGCTCATTGGAAATAAGTGCTATATCTATGTGCCTCAGACAGACTGTGTCAGTGAATTTAACTCCCGCGGGCGAGAACATAATTTACCTAGACGTAACGTCGAAATTATTAACCGTGCTTCCGCTCGTCAGCCAGAACGGGACGTCGTAAATCCTAATCAAGCTTCAGCTTCGTCATAACGTTCTAGGAGGGGTGAGGCTACTACCACCAACACTTTGCCTAATAATAATATTTCTGTTCTTTTTACGAACATTGGAAGCATTGCGAATACACGGGACGATCTGTCATCAGTTGTGGACTCTTCTAACGCGGATATTGTCGTGTTAAGCGAGACATGGTTGTCCAGTAAGATACGCCACTGTGAAATTGTGCACTGTCAGAGACGTTTCAACTTCTATCGTCACGACAGGGAAGAAAGAAAGGGTGGCGGGGTGTTAGTCGCGGTAGCAAACAATATACCATCGTATCACATCAATATTGTTTCAGAACTCGAGCTACTATGGGTTGGTCTCCAGTTAAAAAATAAAAAAATATAATTTAGGCGTGTGTTTTCGCCCTTCTTCTAGCAATACCGCGTTTATAACAAATCTTCACGATGCGATCAACGCAGTCATTGTTCTTTTCCCGAATGCACCGACGCTACTGTTGGATGATTTCAACTACCCATCTATAATATGGTCAGACGAGGGTGCAAACCTTAGTCGCTTCTCTTCCGAATGTAGTGAGTTTTTGAATCTTTGTTTAGATTTCAATTTTTCTCAAACTGTTACAAAACCGACGCGTACGACTTCAACAACTGCTGCTGTGCTTGACCTCATATTAACAACATCGCCTGAGCTGATCTCCTCGTTAACTTACATGCCTGGTCTTAGTGATCATTCTCTTCTACATTTTTTGTTAAACATTCCTGGACGCAATAAGTCCGATCAGACGAAAACATTTTTTGCCTATGCTAGGGCTAATTTTGATTCAATCAACAATGGACTTTGTCGTTTTCTAGAGGACTACATAGGTTGTTTTGCTGAGCGCTCAGTAGATGATAACTGGTGTTAATTTAAAGAAAAAGTTATGTCAGTGATGAACGCCCATGTTCCCCTTCGCGTGGTATCTTCTTCACTGAAAAAGCTGTCAAATAAAAAGAAATGATTATTTCACACTGCAAAGCTATCGGACAATGTACAACGCTGGGAAGCCTACCACGTTGCAGCTAAGCTATATAATAAAGCAGTCGAAGAGGCAAAATTACACTACTTTAACACTACGCTGCCGTCAAAGCTACTTAACAATCCGCGTCAATTTTGGAAAGTTATTAACCCTCCTTCTATTCCTGGCATAGTACCCATGGAGAGGATGTGCCATGTGAAGTGTGTTCTTTTTTTGTTAAATGATGTGTTTGTTGGATCTTTTTGATGCACGGTAACCTCAGACTGTCCGGTATTTAGAGCATACGATTTTTGCCCATGTTTCCTGTTATCATAGACTGCGAAGGTATATCTAACATTGTTGAAAACTTTAAAACCGATACGACAGCAGGCACTGATAATATTAATGCTAAGTTTTTGAAAAACACTAATACATACTCATGCGTTATCTTATCTAAATTATTTTCGCAATCACTTGAACAAGGAGAATTACCAAAGGATTGGAAGGTGGGGAAGCTGATCCCTCTCCACAAAGGGGGCGATAAGCATAACCCTTTAAACTTTCGTCCCATATCTTTAACGAGCCTTTCTTGTAAAATCCTTGAGCACATCATTTACACTAACATTTTCAATTTTCTAGACTCAAACTCCTTTTTTAACTAAGCGCAACATGGATTTCGAAGGTTTTATTCATGTGAAACTCAACTCCTAACCTTTACTCATGACCTTCACGTAACACTTGACCAAGGTTCCAGGACTGACTGCATATTTCTTGACTTCCCAAAAGCTTTCGACAAGGTTCCTCACGCACTGCTTCTTCATAAACTCCGTAAACTTAACATAGATTTTAATATAATCGCTCGAATAGAATCGTTTCTATCAGACCGTTACAAATTTGTTCACGTTAATGGAACTAATTCTTCAACCTCACGTGTCAAGTCCAGTGTCCCACAAGGTTCCGTATTAGGTCCACTTTTATTTCTTATATATATTAACGATCTTCCCACGTATGTATCCTCTTCAATTAGCCTATTTGCTGATGACTGTGTAATTTATAAGGAAATCATTAACGACTCTGACATATCTGCTCTTCAGACCGATATTAACAACGTCACCCGCTGGTGCGATAATTGGCTTATGGAACTTAACACCTTTAGATGTAGATTCATGAGAGTGTCCCGTCAAAATAACACTTGTCCCTCCTACTGTAGTAGTAACTCCACCTTGCTTTCTATGTCAACCTATAAATATCTCGGTGTTCATATAACTCACGATCTCTCCTGGAACATCTATGTCGAATAGATAACTAACAATGCTAATCGATTATTTTTTATCTCAGAAGAAACATCTCCCTTGCCCCTGTTTCACTTAAACTTCTCCTATATAAAACTTTAGTGCGCACCAAATTACTTGAGTATGCAGGCTCTATCTGGAACCCTGGCGTATCCCTAGCATCATTCATTGAATCCATTCAAAATTGCTCCTCACGTTTTATACTTTCTAACTATCACCGTACAGCCAGCGTCACCTCCATGAAAGCGTCTCTATCTTTGCCAAACCTCTCCTTTCGTAGAAAAATAGCTCGCCTCTGCTTATTTCACAAGATTTATCACTCTAACCCAGCACTTCGAACCTCATTATTTTCAGAACCATCACACATATCACCGCGCACCGATCATGCACTAAAAGCAGGAATCCCCTACTGCATCACCTCCACCTTTTATGCCTCCTTCCTACCCCTGACCTCTGTTGACTAAAATCGCCTTCCCGCATCCGTAGTCTTACTTACCGACGCTGCTGATTTTAAAACCGCCATAACTAATGATCCTAATAATGTTCCATAACGATTCTGTACCTTTTGTTTTTTTGCGTTTTGTTTTCATTGTTCACTTTATATTCATGTATAATTCCACTCCTCTCTGTAATGCCTTCGGGCCCTGAGAGTATAATGAATGAAATAAGGGAAATGAAATCAGCGCTATTCGCAAACGCCCGGCCCGACCCGATCGCCTCCGGCGGTGACATCGCGGGAGGAGCGCTGCGGCCTTGACGCTAGGTGGTGTTGGTTACCCACGGCGACCGGCGACGGGTGAAACATCACGTGTTCAGGCATACAACGTCGTTGTGCTCCGTGAAATGAGCGTGCTCCGGGCTTCCCAGCTCAAAAAAGAACGACAAAAAAGCAAAAAAAAAAAAAAAAAATTCCACGGACACTAAGCACTTATGAGTTGTGAATGCGAAAGCATGAATGTCGTTCTTCCGCTCCCCTAGTTCGTCTGCGGCGTAGTGGCGCGGACGGTCACGTTTCCCCGGCCGACGGCCGAGCGCGCGTTCTCCTGAAGTGGCCGCGCCGCGCTGAGCTCGGCCGTGCACCCTCCCCGGAGCTCGCCGGAGCGGGCTGTGCGGTTTGGCCCGCACTGCCGGCGTCCGGGCCGATGCGTGCGCTGCGCCACCATGAGGAGGGCTTCTCTGGTGCCTTTTTTTTTGCAACTACGCCGCACGAGAGCTAATGGAATCCTCGTTCCTTGATGACGCGCGCTAGCCAATGGTAGCATAATCCATCAGAAATCGGCCTCACTTCGCTAGGTTGGGAAAGGAAATTTTCGATGCCGTTTGGCCAACGTTTGGCGTGGTTTCAAAGCTGATGAGGTCGGTTCGCTCCATGGGACAGTTAATGCTCTCGCATTAAAAAATGGTGATCAGACTCCTTTGCCGCAGCGGGTTGAGTGGTTGATACTCTCTTGCCGCCAGCTGGTACCAGGGCTCTGCTCGGTGTTGCCGTGTTTCAGTGATTGCGTTTTCGGCATGCTCTGTCTACTGCGCCTCCAGTGTTGGGAAGTATACATCGAGTACATTGTACGCTACTTCTAGGATGTTTAGAATACTGTTACTAGAAGTCCGAAAAATAAAAAAAAAAGAAATCTCAAACAAAAGCTCAGAAACAATCAGTTTCCAACGTTTCTTGAACAAGTACATTCTCTGAGCATGTCCGTGTTTGTACTTTCCCCGAAGTACATTCCCGAATTTGGTCTTGTTATGTTTGTATCCCAAAATTATGCTTTGTCAACTCTGAAGCCCCTTTACTTTATCCAATATCGGCCGCCATTTCCGAAAATAACTGATGCACCCCCGATAACCCCTGGGGCAATGCATACAATAAACAAAACAAAAAAACACTGTATAGGGGAATAAAAGGGCATCGCGGAAGATTAAAGAATACTTGTACTTCACTTTGAAAGTACATTTTCTTTATAGTATTTTACTTCAAGTACATGGGTCCCGGCTTCCCATTTACTTTACTTGAAGGACATAACCTCCCATTTTTATTTATTTTCTATTCAAAATATTTCAAAGGCTTTAAGTACTTCAAGTACTTTTCACATGTACTTTACCCAGCACTGTACGTCTCACACTTGAATAGCCCTCGAGAAAGTCACATTTGTAGCGCAGAAGATGGCGCCAACCAACAAGACATCCTTCAAAGCGCCCACGCGCTTACCTTGCACGATGCAGGGCCACTTTACCCTATCCAGTTTCCACAAGTGTACAAAGGTTTTCCACACTAACATATCACATTCTGTGTTACCAATGCCTTTGCCACGCCAGTACGACAAAGGGGCGACTTCTTTGCGATATGCCTTGGGCCCGTGAATTTTTTAAGCTATAAACATTGTGATTTGCTCATAAAAATTTGATAGAGTTACTTTTTGTAATCTTTTTTTATCTATTTTTTGTGTTCGGCGGGAGTCTTGCAAAGTCCGATCCGTCGGTGTTGAACGTTTCAGCATTTCCACTGGAACACATTGGTGTACCTCTCCTACATATGTTTTTTTTTCTTCCGTAGCTGTTGCTGAAATACAGGGTCGAGTACCACTACGAGGACATCGGTATGCGGAGCAAGTTAGTCAACGCACCTGACAGGCCAGCGAGGTACCGCTTCCTCGACCTGCACTGACCGCGGTTCACCTTTCGGCAGCGATGCTTTTGCCACGGCATACGATTGCTTTACCTTCTGCACGGTCGTCCAGAAATACAGTGGCCTCAATAAAGCCTGCACGATTTATTTGTCATGTGGGACATGCCGCATCGTGGCCTTCTTTGTAAGCGCTTTTGGGCAGCGGGAATGGGAATTGACCGACACTTCAACTTCATGACGGTGGAAGAAGAGGCTTCCACCTACCATAAGATTTAGGCACATCTGTCGAAACAGTACTGAAACAGTGTATATTAGCTGCACATCAAAAGTTCACGCGTAAATCGCGCAAAAAGAAAATGAAAGACGTTTACAATTTTTTTAATGCGAAATTACAGCACAGCTCTTGAGGAGGAGGAGGGGAGAGTACTGCGAATAGAGTATGTCCCTCATCCCCTTCCATACCCTCCCGTCCTCCTCTTCCCCTCCTCTTCGTCCCCTGATCCTGCTCCTCCTCCCCTCCTCCTTCTTTTCTCCTCCTCTCCTCCTCGCGTTAGATTTCCCCGCTAAATTTTTCTATCATTTAACAAAAATGGCACCGCTAATTGTAGGAGGAAATTTAACAAAACGTTTTCCGCTAAATTGAGGGGGAAATTAACGTCACGTTACCTACAGACAAATTCAGTTTCCTCGCTAAATTGAGTGGAAAATTTGACGTCAACTGACCTCAACACCAATTCAATTTCCCGCTAAATTTAGCGGGTAAACTGTGACGTCCAATAATGCAACGCGCGCTGTTAGCCGACGGCAGCGCCGCCTAAGAGGTGCGCTCAGAAAAGTACGAAACACAATATACTCAAAAGTGCGCGAATTTTAAACGCAGGTATATTAACAACTAGAGAAGTGTTCAGATAGACAAAAAATCACAAAACCTAGGTCTATTAAAGAATAGAGTGGAAAGAAGAATAAAGGTCTAAACATCAGTCACCGTGCATCGCTGCTTGTGTACTACACGTCCAGAGGCCTTGTAAACAGACCCCTTCCCTTTTGCGGGTTCAACAAGAGAACGGCTGAACTCCGAAAACGGTCCAGGTCACAGCACCTTCCACCTGGAGCGTAACACAAAAGTGCATTGGTTGAAACAATACAAGAGTGCGGCTTAACTCTGCTCACGGACCAAGTCACAACACCCGCTACCTGGAACATGACACAAAAGTACATTCATCGAGGCCATATGAAGCAAACGTAAAAAAAAGCTCCACATAAAAGGTTTAATTATAAGGAGACAAAAAAAGTTACGAATGGATGTAAAATATACGACAACAGTGCGCGGATTCTAAACACGGGTAGATAATAGCCTAACTAAAAATTTTCGTGAAAAAAAAAATGCAACACAAAGACTAAGTTTAAGAAATAATGAAAAAGGTAGAAGAAAAAAATGAGGAGTCGTGTGTTAATACGCAGTATTGCAGCCGCCGCGAAGTAATTGGGCACCAGAGTCGCGTTCGCGCAAACACGTGGTTTTAACGGCCCAGACTCGATGGACCGATAAATTGAGGGAGGGAGGAGGCGAGTGCGTGCGAAGACTTCAGAACGCCGAGTCCTGATTGGACGAAATAGTGGGTAGACCTAAAGCGCCTTCATCTCCACAGCGCTCGTCGAACGCTTCTGGAACGCAGAACGCCGGCGACCTGCGTTCTGCTCTCGCACTACAATGCGTTCGACGAGTGCAGTGGACACAAAGGCGGCTAGCTTCAGGCCTACCCACTAATCCTTCCAACCAGGACTCGGCGTTCTGACGTCTTCGCACGCTCTCGTCTTCTTTGGGCGGAATGGCTTCGTGCTCACGAGTCTGCACTTCATTGCTCTCCCCGCGAAGAACGGGGAGTTGTCTGAGTGTCGGCGCCGGGCCGTCTTTCACCGTCTGACAACGAGAGCGACGCTAACATTCGGCGACGCCAACACACTCGCGCGCCTGCCGCTTTGCGCTGTACTATAGCCGCCTCTATACTCGCAAAGTCTGGCATTTCGACGACGGAGCCATAGAGTGCCCGGTTGCAGATTTGGAGCGCGAGGCTCTGGTAGCACAGGGCATCAAAAGACATTTTTCGGGAAACCTGGACGTCAGCGCACAGCGTTTGCAGCGGCGAGGGCCCGAAACATACTTGTTCGCTCGGAAGTACTGTGTTTCGGCGTCTCGCCGCAGCGGGGCGCCAGTCACGTGGCTCTTCTCCCATCCGTTGTCTGCCGCTCCACCTTTTCCATTTTGGCGGCCTCTTCTCGCGGCCATCTGCCACGCTTTGTCAGTATATTGGAGGCTACGACTGTATTTAAGCAGGGAACACATGAGCGACAAAACCGGGCGCCACGAGGCAGTTTTCATGGGAACTGGCGCGCACGCTGTGACGGGAGGGGGCTTGACATAGGTCTACGTCACAGCGTCCTGGGCGATTGCTATGGGAATCAGCGAGCGGTGCCTGTTTATGCCGCTCGTGTGTGCATAACATCAAGCTCAACGTTGCTAGATCTAAGTCAGTTGGCGAGTTTTTCTAGAATGCCTGGCGCCTTTTTGTGTCCCATTCGCTCGGTGGCGCTTCCTACTTTGTTAGCCCGCCCTAGGGACAAAAGCAGCGAAACCGGTGGAACGTTGGGTGCATTGAGTTATTGTAATGTACACGCTGTAGCGGTGCAACTGGTGCTAGTATGCGGATTCAAATTGAAGCAGACAGCAACGTGGCTGAATTTAGCTTCCGGTAATGCGTTCGAGTGGATTTTCTTCCTGCGATTGAGTATAAGAGCAAAAATCACGATTAATTAGTTCGTACTACATAGCTTGGAGCATTTCTCAGTTAAACAGGCGGAGATATTGATCGGTTACGGCGTTTCTTTTTCAAATTTATGGCAATAAAAAAGGGTGCTAAAATGATTTTGGACATGCATTTATTTACAGTGTCCGACTCTGTTAGCACCAACACGACATCGACGCTTTTCTGTATGGCGGTTTACGTGTCAAGCCAAGGAACAGAATTTTGAAAACCAAGAGAGATGTCAAGACCTACGCACTAACACTGGGTCAGTAACTCCTTGTGCATCCAGAAGATCAAAATAAATGTAAAGCCGAGCAATGGGGAGTGCGATCTGATAGATAACATTCGTTTTATTCACTGAGCTACTCATGTATGTGCAAAAATAAGTTTGTTGTAGCTTTTTGTTGTTTCCGTAATGCTTTCAAGAGAGAGACATGCGAATGGAGCTCAGGGACATCAAGGCGACCCTTAGCGAAAAGTCGTTCAAAACCAGTATACTGAAAGTATACTGAAAGAATACTAATAGTGAACTTAGGGTATGTACTGAAACCGTACTAGTTTCACACTTTTATGAAACAAAATAGTATACCTTTAGTACAACCCAAGCACATATGTAGTATAACATAAGTGCACCTCGAGTGTACTTTTAGCACTCTATAAGTGCACGTTTAGTGCACTTCACGCATGCTTTTAGTGTACTAAATGTACACTACCAGTATATACATGTGGAGTGTCCCAGATAACTTGCACCAAACTTAAAAAAAAAAACAAAAAAAAAAAAAACGGAGCGTTCTCCGGGAGTGAAACCAACTGTACACTGTTAGAAAGTCTCTTGCGAAAGTGCACGAAATTGTTTTAGCGCGCCTATTTATTTAATTAAGAGTAACAAGCTAACTTTTGAAATCTTCGCTTAAAAGCCGAGGTGTGAAATGGAAAGTTGTAGCCGCATTAACACCCAATTGAACCATTTTCAACAAGGTGCACTTTGCATGCTCCTTTTCCCTAGCCTTCAGAAAAACGCCCGCGAAATACAAACAAATACCGCGTGACAACTCGCTTCCCCAATCGCGGCGTGCGAGCGCGCCGCGAATGTGCGTTCTTAGAAGGCCGGAAACGTATTATGTTTCAAACACTTTAATTGGGTGTTTCTCAATGCGCCCTGCAACTTTACAATTGATATCTTGGCCCTTAAAAGAATATTTGAAAGGTTAGCTCAATAATCTTAGTTATTTACATAACCAGGCGCATTAAAGAAATATGTGCACTTTCTCAAGACACTTGCTAACGACAGTTGATTTCACTCCTGCAGAGCCCTCCGGTGTTTTTTTAGGTATGGTGCAAGTTATCTGGGACGCCGTGTATGTCGGGCGTTCTGAATGGAAAGAACGGTCTCAAATCGACCAGACAAATCGGCGCCTGCATTTAAAAAGCTGACTTTTCCCTGTTGGAAAATCTCGATGATGGAAAGACGACGGAAAAGGCTCATACAAGCGTAACCGTAATATGGGACATCCTATACAAGCGAAAAAGGCGGCTCCAGTATAGTGGAATAAGGCGGAACGATACAGGTGGGCGGAACCATACAAGCGTGTCGTATTATGGGACATCCTATACCAGCGTAGTGGATATAGGCGGAACCATGTAGGCGGACGGAACCATACATGCATAACGTAATATGGGACATCCTATACCAGCAAAAAGGCGATACCAGCATGGTGGAGCCATATGGCTCCAGCGTGTTGGTTTCGCCTTTTCACTGTTGTACAGGGCGATTTAGTTTTAAGCTTTACATATATGTTTAGAAAGGTCGTGAAAGCTATATTAATGCGGTTTGTGCAGGCGAGTTATACGGCCAGGCGTACGTAGTATAGGGACCTAGTCGTAACGATCAGTCAGATAATTAAATACAATTTGTTAATCAACTTTTTAATTAGTGAAAATGAAAATATGGTTTCAATTAGAAAGTTGCTGAGTCATTGAAAACCACAAAATCAAGTTTTTTTTAGAAGGATATAATTCAGGGGTAGCGTTTTATGCATTCTGTAAAAAGCTTTATTTGGACGAGTTTCTAGGTTTCAGTTTCTTATCAGAGCTCATCTCTGCGCCCACGGTCCTGTTCCCCAGGGGCATAGACACGCAACACACATGCGCCTTGTTTCCCTTCATCCTACGAGGGAGGCGAGGGGGCGGCTTCGCACTGCGGTCACCGGGCAGCTGGACCGCAGGTGCAAAGATGCGCTCTGGTAAGAAACCGAAGTCTGGAAATGCGTCCAAATTGACCATTTTTTTTATAACGCCATAAAATGCTACTCGTCTTATATCTTTACAAAGAAAATTGATTTA